CACAGTGTTATTGTTCGTTTGGTAGGACACTGATATCCAGTTTGCAAATTTGTGCCTGATCCGTATGCTACTAAGTTAGAAGCGGTGCTACCTCCTATTTTTTCAATCTTTTTTTCCGTTTGACAATATCACATTGTGTCTGGAAAATGTACTACAATATGCGTTCGCTGAGAACAGCCCGAAAATAGCCGACCTTTCAAAAATTTCGTTTTTACGCTTCAAAATTACATTACGACTCCTTGCTTCCATGCATCCGTCGATCCGTTTTGTACTTTCTTCGAATTGTCAGTTGTTTGCGCGATCGGTAATGAAATGTTTTCCGAAGCGATGAAATCCAGCTTCATTTTCCTCCTAAGAGACGCTTCATCGTATAGTTGTGGAAAAGCTTTTTGCAACAATTTTTATGCCTGCTGGTTCTACTTTTCTGGTTTTTTCTAGTTGATAATTTTACGCATTTTTACCACCGCTTCGTTCTTTGAATGCACTGATTCAGGGGACATGTCCTTGTTGTGTTTGTAGATCTTTTAGCGCCACTGAGTCGATTTAAACTAAATTTGTAGAAGTGGTTCCCGATTCTGTTGTAAATTTGTCCCTGAAGACTTATTGGTCAGTCTGTTCCTTCCTTCCCACCGTCCTTCGATTTCTCAAAGCACGCCAGAATTCCACTGTTTTCCGCATTCTTTAAACTTCTGTATTTCTCAAGTGCTTATCTTTATTAAGAACAAATGCATTATAGCCATGTTCCATGTTTTACCGGCCTATGGCATCATTTGCCACAAGCGGTCATTCGTTCACCGGCCACTTTGAATAGTTTTAAGGAGATGCTTTCTCACTTATTTGCCCCGTTGTATTTCAGTTTGCCCTTGTTTTTTACACGGCGCCATATGTGACCTAGGATCGGAGCAGTGCGAAAGAGATAATGACTGTTGAATTTAATTCAGCTGAAGAAATTAGCAGTGCTAATGTACCAGTCTTACGTTTGAAATGACTGTGATTATAAAGACTCCCAAAACTAACATATGTGAAGGAGGAATCAGCAATGCCGTTGTATTTGTGGGTGTTTTTCTGTTGTGGCGTGCTCCTTCTTATAAGAATTTTGCAGTTTTCGAATTGATCCACGAATTCGACATTCCGTTTGGTCTTTAATGATTGGTGGAGCAGGAAATATTCTTTGTCTGTTTGCAACAAATCAGCTCACAATACAGCGCTATATGGCTATGAATTCTCTCAGATCGGCGCAGTGGTGAAATTTTGTTGCTTTTTGCAACCGTTTTGCTAGAAAAATGCATTCATTAGCAGGCAGCTAGCTTTCCAGATGCCTTTTTTAATTGCTTGCACTGTTATCACTGCCTTCCTGGACTGATGAAACGGGGAGTGGTTTTGAGTTATCAGTAATGTTTCAGCTCAATGTATTCACGAGGTTGATTCCTCCCAAAAGCAAATTTACTGAAATGTAGTGAAATGGTCAGGAACCCTAGAGCTTATTGTTTGGGATAAAATGAAATACGAAAATGGTGGGTGCTGTAGGGTAGAAGAAAGAAGAAGCGGAAATTTTTGGAAATGTATTAAAAAATAAGGATTTGCAGTTAGCCCAGGCGATTTTCCGTTTTACATTTGTACGTCGTTTTTGGTTTTTAGGGAGTAAGGGGAAGGAATTTTCATGACCATGCACAGTTTCATGAAAGACATCAAGCGATTTTGACTTTTGCAGTCTAAACTGAAAGTTCTTGCGCTGGGGACCATCTTTCCTGCTTAATTTTGGGCTTTTGAATTATGAAATTGATAAAAAAAAATGTCTTTTACAGAGGTGATTTTAGGCTGTTTGAAAGGCTGGTTTCTCAAAATGCTCTGTGTTGAAGGGTTGTTTTGCTAAATATCCCATTCAATTTTCTGATTCTCACAACATACGTTGGAGCGGGACTGATCATGTATCACAGATATTCTCACTGTCACCCTGTGCTTCACTCGAAAGATGAGGTCAGTTGGAATCTTCGTTTTTCCTTTAATTTAGCTAAAGAAATAGTTTGGTTTGCTGATTTATGTGCTTACATTGCGCCGCCAACGACTTGGAAATTTCCTTAACTGAGTATATTTTTATAAGATTCGTTGTTGTAGAAGTAAAGATGTGCTTTTTT